TTGCACACTACGAATTCGATTTTAGTTTGGTGGGGGTCGAATCCAGTCGAGGCTTTCTTTTTGGGGCGGGAGAGAAGGGGGGGAGGGTGCCGGTGGGCAAGCGGTGGGTGTGGGTTTGTGGGTGGTTACAGTCAAGTTAGGATCCCAGTGTGGCGAAGGTAAAAAAAAAAACCCAAACCTTCCAGTGTTCACTTTCTGCCTGGGAGTCGAGCACCAAGTTCCGCGCTGAGTAAGTACTCAGTATGTTATGAAGGCAAGAGGCATAGGACGTGAGTTGCCGCTGGGCGGCGGGGAGTCCGGTGCATTTAATACAACTTGGAGAGTATTACTGTATTTGAGGATGAAAATAATTCCACCTCGAAAAGAAAACAGATATGGTGTTGCCAGCTCTCTGCCTGGGAGTCGAACCCAGCTTTCTCGCGATGAACAAATTCTATTCATGACACTGGGCGCATGTACTAATTATGACCGATATACGAGCAGAGAGGATACAGGAATGTGGGAGGGCACAAGTATGTATGATTCTTAGTGGTAGGAGATGTGCCACAGAGAAAAAAGCGGATGCTCTAAGCTAAAATCTCCAGGCGTGTGTATTACGGCCGATATACTAGCAAGAGGTTATCGGGATGTGGCACTGGGAGGGTTCTCATGATCAGTCTTAACTCGTAACATCTATAGCGAAGTATGTGTGACTTGCGACAAGTACGAAGAGATAAAGAATTGTAATACAGTGCCAAAATCTCTCTGCCTGGGAGTCGAACCCAGCATTCGCGCGGTGAACAGAAGTGTTTAGACCCTTAGCAAAAAGTACAAAATTAAATGCATGTGCGCGCATACAAAGGTCTGGCAGATGAGCGGCTCCGAGTGTGAGCGCTGAACGACGCAGATGGCAAGAAAAGCTTCGATAATCATGTACATTTCTCTGCCTGGGAGTCGAACCCACCTTGGCTTTGGCCATGTAACAGGGGGGTATCATGGTAGTTGCTGCTGAGTGACGAGTACTGTGCAGAAAGAGGAGGATTTAGCCATGTGAGATTGTAATTTTTGTTGGGAGGGATCACCTCGAAAAGAAAACCCTTTTGATCCTTGAATTGGTGAACTCTCTGCCTTGGAGTTGCGCGTACTAGTACGATGAAATATATGATACGATGGCAGGTGCGTGTCATGGCCGGTATGCGGGCAGGGAGGATGCTGTGATGTGTAAAGATGAGGATGTCTGGTGTACGTTGGGCCTTCGAGTCGGAGAGTGACTTTCGATAGTACAAAGAGAGACAAAAGAAGTACCCAATCGGAATCTCTCTGCCTGGGAGTCGAACCCAGCTTTCGCGCGTACGGTTGATTTTCATGAATCAAATCATTGATGACAGTAGCAAAGACGATGAAGAAGAGTGGATTGAGCGATTATTGGATGGACGAAAGGATCGGCTCGCGATCTGAGTTTGAAGTCAGCGTCGCGATACCGTGACACTCCCTCATCCCTCTCCGCTATCACCACCCTCCCTCAATATATGCACACCCACCCACCTATATCACTCTCCAGTCCCCCAATGCACCCTCTCCACGACGCAGGCGCGTCAAGCCCCCCCTTCCACACACGCGTCTCCGCACCCAGCTCGCCCACTTTGCGGCCTGCTTGATGCTTCCTCTCCGGTACGTACTCCTCCCCCTTTCTCCCTGCCTTTCTTCCCCGTTCCATCACTGATACTTTAACCTACGCAGACCGTACCAACGGAACCCGGAATCCCCTAAACGGCGATCCTCGTCCCCACCAACGCGCACCTCCCCCCCGAAAAGGAAACACACCGGCACACCACCCGCCTCGTTCGGGAACGTGCCCATCATCGCCCCGTCCCAGTGCCCACCGGCTTCCCCTGCCTCCCGCTGCGAAGCCCGCGGTAGTGCGTGTAAAGAGGTACTTGGAGCGCGAGAGGGGGTTGAGGAGAGATATGGGATTGAGCGATACGAATACCGATACCGATAACAGGTGGGACTAGGAGGTCGTTAGGGAGAGGTTGAGAGGGGAGGTCGTTAGGTGGTTCTTGGATGTTAGTCGTGTTTCCTCTGTCTCGAGTGTAGAGATGGCTGATGGGATGTGCGGTGTTGTAGGTTGTGGCTGTGTGTGGTGAGTGGCGGTTGCGGTCGGGGTGTTACTTTTTTAGTGGGGGACGCGAGGTGCTGGCGTTTCCGTGGCTTGCGGTTGCCTCTCTTTTTGAGTGGAGAGTGATGGACCTGTCTTTGCTGCGGTTTCAAGGCTCTTCTTTCTCTTTCTTTTTTCCCGTCGAATCCATGCGCAGGGTTCCCCTATTCTTGAACCTTTCTTTTCTTTCTTCTCGTTCCCTTTCTTTCTTCGTTGTTCTTATGTTGTCTTGGCCCACGCGTTGGTCGGCCTCAGCTCTGTGAATACTACTAACGCTACCTCTTGTAGTGGTGAGGGCGGCGCGACTTCTTCCTTCCTTCTCCCTTCCAGTCGCTCTCGTTTCTATCTCTGCATATCTGTTTGGCGTTTCTGCTTGGGTTGTTGCTTTCGGACTTCGCAGCCCCAAATCCTCTCCTCATCAACTCCCTTTTTTAACCCTGCCCGAGATGGCCAAGCTTCTGTTGTCCTCGAGCCCCAAACCTTTCTCATTCCTCGTTCTAAATTTCTCATTTTGGTCTTCGGCGCGCTTCGCCTGAAACTAATACCGCAAATCCATTGCCCACCTTACGGACTAACCCCCCTCCCTCTCAAAAAACAGAACCTGATGTCCTCCGCTTCCCCCTCTCCCTCCTAACAAGCGCGGCGCTACTCCACGGGCTCTGCGCCATCTTAATGCGGCGCTATATGAATGTATTTTTCGTTCTTTAATGAAATTGAACGATAAATACTGTCATAGCGCTACGAAGACGCGGCACCGTGGTACGTCTGCGAGCTTTGTGTCGCCCCTCGTCCGCCTGCTTTCCCAAATAAGCAGCGCATGGCAAGGGCAGAGAAGGAGGTGAGGGTCTTGTTGGGCGTGGAGTAAGTGAGTGGGATTTTTGTCTTGGTTCTGGACGGAGGGATGACGGGGTGGTGGTTGGTGCTGATTGGTTGTTTTGGCAGGAAGCGACGGAAAAGTGTAGGAAGTGGTTGGGGCGCGTGTGTGCTGTGTGGACCACGTACCGACAAGGAAAAATAGCATATATTCTTTCTGCTAATGTTGATGCTGGCTGGTCACCGTCAATGGCTTTGTACGAAATATTTCAGATCGACGACAACAGATGCGGAAAAGAGGAACACATACTAGTTCGCGATGCTAGGCATCAGCAAATGACTCTGGTTGTTGCAATACTTCAGCCATATTTTCTAAGTCTGTCGTTGACCCGGGGGCTGCTGTCGTCGCCGCATACACTGTACTTCCAGGAGAGGTATGTCATGCTAGGCCAATGAAACAATCCCATGAATAATGTTCTTCTTAGCCTGGTATCTTGCTCCATCTCTATAATGGACCCACGCTTCCCGCAGGCATTTTTGACACATTCTTGGCTATTCCCCACTATGCGAAAGATCATGATGTCTCAACCCGTGATTTATTGTCATTGGTCAAGGTGTACCCTGCAAACGCGACCTATTCTTATCGGTGCGCTGCTTCTATTACTTCCTTAATCACAGCGAATTGACTGGCGTTCGGATGCGTGGCATAGTGGCATTTTCCACGGGCTTGCCGTTGCGCAATACACACCTAAAATCCCAGATGCAATTGCAAATGAAACGGCGGTATGTTTCTGTCTAACGTCGCTGCAGCATTTTCTCCCGCTTGATACTACGCCCTAGTTTTGGTCGAGCCACCTCAAAGAACTAGGTGCCGCCGACATCGACTATGGTGTCCAACCCTTTCTTTCAACGGTCTTCACGCATGGGACTTACGGATCCTCCGCATACCCGCCTTCCAGGGGAAAGAGCCTCTGCCCCCTCAACCTCTACTTTGCCTGGTCAGATAAACGATTCGACGTCGTCTTCCATGAAGCCGCCAGGCAGAGCATCACCCACATCAGAGAAGTCGCGCTTTCAGAGGGCCAGGACGTGGCTAATGCAGCCGTCTATCCGAATTACGCCATCTACGATACACCGCTGGAGGATTTGTACGGAGACACTGTTCTGGCATTGCGAGCCCTCAAGGCTTCTGTGGATCCAGATAATGTCATGGGACTTGCAGGGGGCTTTAAGTTCTAGAATGTGGTCTCCTTGAACACTTAACTAGATGCATTATTATTTAGATTTGAGCTTACGACGCTCGTTCCTCGGACCTCCATTGATCTTTCTTGTAGTCACTTTAACAGCTTATACATAATATTAATACCTTTCTTAGACTCCTCACTCAGCCGATCTCAACGTCATTGACAAGCTGAGTACTTGGTATATATAATGAACCTGAATAGCTCAACTGCTACTTGTAAGGCTTGTCAAGGCCGCCTTGTAGAGAAGGTCGGAAGATGGGCCTGTGAATGATGTCACCCTGCGCGCCCAAAAATATAGGAGCTCAAGCGCTGAATCCGTGAGGCTGAAGTTCCAGACGATTCCCGAGAAAAGTAAAGAGTCAAGTTCCAATTTGAGGCAGACACTTTTGCCACTTTGGCGCGCCGCGCACCCTCCCTTATCGGCCAGTGTAGGTACTGTCGTATATCGAGCAAAGAGGATGCTGGGATGTGGGAGTAGGCCCCAGGGCACAAAGATGTGGATGCTTGGTGTAAGGACTCCAAGTCGGAGAGTGACTTTCGATACAAAGAGAAACAAAAGAAGTTGACGTATATCCGACTGGAGTCTCTGCCTGGAAGTCGAACCCAGCTGTTGCCTGCATGTTAGAATCCAAGAGGGGATATGGCAGGTGCACATACAATTGGGGTGGGGGGGGTGGCAAAGGGGTGGGTACAACTGAGGATGGTGGATGACGGAACAGTGATGCGATCGATATGTAGTGTAACATTGAAGGATCTGAGGAAACGGGGAATCAGAGAGAAAAAGAATCAGGTCCATCCACCACAATCTCTCTGCCTGGGAGTCGAACCCAGCTTTCGCGCGCACATAGAATGAGTTTTACCACATGACAGGCGCGTGTACTAACCGATATACTAGCAAAGAGGACGAACGGGTATGCAGTCATCAAGCAATTATCATTATCACTGGATGAGATGAACTCCGCGGATCAGGAGTTCATCGATCGAGACACGGTCACGGGCCACGGCGATACAAGTTCCGCATCTTTCTCCGCTAACCACCACCCTCCCTGAATATATGCGCACCCCACCCATGTCGCTCTCCAGCCATCAAATTTCCCCGTCCTTGAGTCCCCTAATGCACCCTCTCCACGAAGTAAACCCGTCAAGCCCCCCCTTATCGAGTTCCCCGCCCTGGACATGGTCTGACGGAAGCACGACGACTGTGAGCACAAGCCAGCCCCAGGCCGACGCCGATGCCGGATACGACCCCACACGGGACCCGGGGGAGTTCGTTAGGGAATTGCGGGAGAGGCTTGGGGCGCTGTGTCAAGAGAAGGATGGGGATGAGGTTGGTGTGGATGGGGAAGGATTAGGCAAGGAGGTGAAGTGGGTTCACGTGTTTCAGGAGTCGTTTAAGCGCACGCAGGCTTTCGGCACGAACACGGACATGGACACGGACGCGGACACGGAGATGGCCTGTCCCTCGCCGAGCCTAGACCTGAGCCCGATTGTATTCGCATCCAGATCTCCCTCGGTATCGCCCTCACAACCCAACTTTAACCCCACTGGATGCATGGGATACCGCTCACGCACGATCCATCGCGCGTGCTCCTTCCTCCCCACCTCTTTGGACGAGGACTCCGAGCCCCCCTTCAAACGCCCAAAAATCCTAACACGCACCTCGACGCACACGCGTCTCCGTACCCAGCTCGTTCACACACCCGCGAGTCTGAGAAGGGCCGCGAGTCTGCGGTCTGTGCCTGATGCTTCATCTCCGGTACATACTCCTCCCTTCTTCCCCGTTCCACCGCTGATACCAAAGCGTACCCAGACCGTACCGACGGAATCCGCCACACCCCAAACGACGATCCTCGTCCCCACCAACGCGCACCTCCCCTCGAAGAGGAAACGCACTGGCGTGCCACCCGCCCCGCTCGGGAACGTACCCATCATCGCCCCGCCGCACCCGCTCCCGGCTCCTCCAACTGAGAAGCCCGCGGTAGTGCGTGTAAAATGGTACTTGGAGCGCGAGAGGGGGCTGAGGAGGGAAATGGGATTGAGCGATACGAATGCCGATTCCGATTACAGGTGGGGCTGGGAGATTGTTGGGGAGAGATTGAGGGGAGAGGTTGTGCGGTGGTTTTTGGAGGTCAGTCGCGTTTCGTTTTCAAGTGTAGAGATGGCTGACGGGATGGGTGTGTGGTGTTGTAGGTTGTACCCCCCGCCCCGACCCCGGATCGGTCTGACGACGGAGAGGAGGAAACTTGGGACGCGTCCTTTGTCTCTTTGGGCTCAAAGTCTAGCTCCACCGCAAGCCCAAGGACGTGCTCCTCCACCTCCACCTCCACAAGTACTTCAACGCGTAGCGCGAGCCCTTCCTCATCTTCTACTTCCACCACCACCACCACCACCAACTCAACTGCATACTCAACCTCCATACGAGGACAAGGAAAAGGAACGAACGCCCACGGATCGAATTTACACGACCAGCTCGCCCACTCCCCAGCCACGCGCTTCCACGCTGCGTATCTCTTTTTACGCTTCTTCTGGGCGTGCTCCGAGTCGTCCCCCTCTTCCTCCGCCTCCGAACGGCACGAAGGAAGGGGAGTGGGGTATAAGGGGGATGCGGATAATGGAGATAAAGGAGGGACAGGGGAGATGGACTCGGCAGAAGAACCTGAAGGGAGCTGGCCCTTCGGAGGCGCGCTGGCACGGGATGAGGAGGGGAGGGTGCTCTTTACGTGGGATGTGGCGGTTGCGTGTTTGAGTGTTGGGGTTAAGGTCTGTTTTTTCCTCTCTCTCTCTCTGGCTGTCTTCTCTCCTCGTTTCTTTGGCTTCTCGTTTCCTTTTCTTTTCTTTTCTTTTCTTTTCTTTCATTTCCTTTCTCCTGCTTTGGTCCTTTCGTGTTCTCGTCTTGCCTTTTCTGCTTTTTTACTCGGTCGTTCGTTTGCGGTGCTCTCTTCTTCCTTCTCCCTCCTTCTATCCCTCAGAGATGTTGAGGGTGGTGTTTTTTGTCGGCCTTCGATCCTCCTCGCTCTCGAGTTCTTGAGTTCTTCGAGTTGCGTTGCCGCTTCTTGTCGTCATTTTGGAGTTTGGAGGTTTAAGGTGGTGAGGAGGCCCAGGTTGGGGTTGGGGATCGTCGTGGTGGGGTGGTTTCGTCGGTCTTCGTGGCTTTGATCGACGCGGCTACTCTGCCTCGCGCGTCTTTCGTTGCGCTTATTCTGTCGCCTTCGTTTTGCCTTTCCTTCCTCTTCTATGCTGTTGACCCCCTTTGTTTCGTTTTCTTTATCGCCCACGCTTAGTTCAACTCCCGCTCTACGTGATACCAGACCAAAAGCTGACTTCCCACTTTCCTGCTCGCAGTACAACCGCGACTTCTTGCACCCCCTCCGCCCCGTATACGCATACGAGTTCGCGAGGCTCGCGCCGCATGGGCATTTGGGGTTTGAGGACCTCGAGGTGCGTTTCCTCCCCGCTCTGCTGTGTGTAATTTTCGTTGGGAAGTGGGCGGGGCTCTTCGCTCTGGATGAGGTGTCGATGTTCTTGTTAGGTATCGGTCAGCGGCTGGATCTTTGTCGGTCGCTCATTTGGCCCACTAATGGCTTTCCTTCTTTCTCTTTTGCTATCTCAGCCCATCTGCTGACGTGCACAAACACGAACAGATAGCCCACCGCGACCTCCTCGCCGCACTCGCGTTCCGCCTGGGCGACACACCGCAGGCTTTGTTGATTGAGCTGTGGGAGGCACTGCCGGCGCTGCGGGCTCTCTTGTCTGGGTTACACCCTGGTGAGAGAGGAGGCGAGGAGGGAGACGCGCAGAGGGAGTGGAATTTGGTGCTGAGGGAGACGTGGAGGGGGCTTTTTGCGGCTGTGTGTGGTGAGTGGTGGCCGCGGTCGTGGTGTGCTGGGGGGTGGTTGTGGTTTCTTTCTCGGGGCGGTGGTGTCGTTTCGCAGTTGGGGCGGTGTGATGTCCGGGATTCCTTTTCTTTCTATTTTGTTCGAGGCGGTGGGCGAGAGTTTGTGACCTGCCGGCTTTCTGTCCTTTTCATGGCGGAGAATGGACAGTGGAGCCGCGATTCGGTTTCCGTTCATGAACTGTCTTTCTATTTTCCGCCTGCGTCGACATAGGTGGGAGGCTTCTTGTTTCAGTTGTGATGCTGAGGGCGCGGCATCAGTTTCTACGCATGCTTCTACATGTCTCTCTCCTTTCGTTTCTTACCTTTGTCTCCGCCTGTCTTTTGGTGCCTCCCATGTTTTGCTCTACTTCGGTCGTTGGTTTGAACCTTCCCTACTTCGCACCCTGATGTGCTCTTGAGCCCAAACTTGTTTCAACATCTCATTTGATTTCCATCTTCGTGTTACTGTCCACACACACACGGACCCCATTCACTCAGTCACTAACAACTGACCCCCTCTCCCCTCCTTCCACCCCTCTCACACGCACAGAACACGATGTCCTCCGCTTCCCCCTCTCCCTCCTAACAAGCGCCGCGCTCCTCCACGGGCTCCGCACCGTTCTAATGTGGTGCTACGAAGACGCGGCATCGTGGTATGTCTACGAGCTCTGTGCCGCCCCTGGTCCGCCTGCTTTGCCGAATCAGGAACGCTTGGACAGGGCGGAGAAGGGTGTAAGGGGTGTGGAATGGGAGTTGAGGGGGTTATTGGGCGTGGAGGAGGTGAGTGAGATTCGCGCTTTTGATCTCGGGGGAGGGGGTCGGTTGGTGCTGATTGGCTGCTTCTTGGCAGGAAGTGATGGAGAAGTGTAGGAAGTGGTTGGGGCGCGTGTGTGCTGCGTGATTGGTTCGCTGTGTTGGTGCTGTTGATGTTGTTGGGTTTTGGTTGCTCTTGGTCGTTCGACTCGGATACTCGTGGTGCTCGCTGCCCTGTTTGTGGATGCTTTGGCTGGTTACTCTTTGGATGTGAAGTGTGCTTTCGTCTGCTGTCTGGCTGCGTTCGTGTTGTATTGTATTGTATCACCTTGCGTAGACAAAGTCTTATCTCTTCTGGAATTCATCATATATAGCAGGCTCCTAAAACCAGCCGCTCAAACCGCTCGATTTCGCAAATCTCGCTAGTCATGATAGTTTTATATGTTGACCCTTATCTTATCTGAACCAAATAGAGATATCTTTTACCACAACAAGCAAAACTTGGGCTCAAACTTGCAGTTGAGTGGCTGGCAAAACTTTGTATCAGGGACCTCAGTGTTCTCAAACAAACCCTACCATAGGTTCAATATCATTGCTTGCTTTATGTAATTTATTCCACATCAATCAATAATGATTGTTTGCATGATCACTCTAAATAAGGACACTGTGACATGGTATAACACTATAATGGACATCCTCCACTGTGACATGAGGTTGACATACAGTGTCAATGTGAGCTATAAAGTATTGTAACATAATCACAAGACAAAACAGTTCAATGTCACTCCATACCATGCTTGCCCAAATTGCAGCTTCTGGCTACACTCCTTTTGACATCTTCCTCACTGTGTTGGAGAGTAGTGGCACTGAAGGATTGCCATTCATCAATGACATTCATTGCCAAATCAATGCCCTCTGTAGGAATGTAATCTTGAACAATATATGTCAAGGTTAATCTGTGTAAATGAGCAAGGGAATACATGTAAAATAACAGTATATAACTACAATAAAAGTACAGTGGGCTGCATGGGTCAAACCCCAGACCTTATGCACAATTCTACCAATTCCTCCCCATGACCCTGACAAGCACAGTAGCTCGATATCTTCCAACACACCCCTGCAAGTGCACACATGCATCAAAATGTCACCCCTGCAATCTGTCCTGAAAATCCTGTCAACAGATCCAATCATACCAATGTTGGCACTGCTGTGGTCTCCTTCAGACCTTGTCCTCTCTTTCTCCTTCTCTGTGTCCTCAATGCCATTCTGCCACC